TGGAATTGAACTCAGGACCTTCTTGCTGTGCGGCAACAGTGCTAACCACCGTGCCTTGTTTCAAACAAATACTCAGCAAGTGTCATTCACAGTGGGAAGTACCTTTAGCTGCATTGAAGTTTCATAAATTGCACAAATAGAGAAGACGTGGGTTGATGAGAAATATCTGAAGTAGGATCGCCAAGCAACTTCCCAGTTAGTGTGCAAATGACATCATGGGGCAAACTGTGACTCCACTAAATAACTGTTAGATCAAAGAGCTAATTTGGGCAACGACCATGTGTTCATGAGCAATGTTCCCTCTAAGCTGCGCATGTGCACAATTGCTGGCACGGTCTAATGTCCAACATGGGCCTGGGAATGACAAACGACCTGCCCACTGTGTACAGCATTGAAGGCTCCAGCCCCCCAGAAAATAGAAGAGGGGTTCAACAAGCTCATCTGGCCCCTAAAACAGTAACTTTAGGCCAAAAACGGAGCTCTCCTATGCACACATATTTTATTCATTTCCAACCTCAGTGCCTGTTCTGGACCTGCTCCCAAACAACCCAAATCTCTTCACCACAATGCAACAATTTATGCACAGGAAGAGCATTAAAGATTTAACTGTTCTGTGATTGCGTGGCAGGATTGTAATTTTTGTTTTGTGTGTAAATAATGTAACTGTTACACTAAAAAGCTGGAATAAGACTTTGACTCTGGATTGGATTTTGTACATTTTTCTTCACGGTAGAAGTGGCTTCCAGCATCTGTTGGAAATGAGGGTCTTGGCTGAAACGTGACACTGATTCTTTTTTTCATCTGGGAAAATCCTTTTCTGTTTGCCCTGACTGTACAAGAGGCAATTCCAATTAAATCCGTTTAGTTGCTGTCTTTGGTTTCCAGTTGGAAAAAGGTGTTTATTTCTTAACAAATATTATAAAGAACAAACTATTTGCTTGCAAGTTTGACTACACAAAGATTTTCTTCTGCTGTGAAAGAGAACATGGACATGTGGTCTGGAAATAATTCAGTCTGTGAGTAGTCGACACCCGGCATTTAGGCCTCCGCATCTATACCCACCCCCACTCGTGCCATGTATAGGATGAATTACGGGTTTCTGATTGGCTGAAGGACTTTGGTATAATGGTGTGATCCAATCATGTGTTCTCTCACTGTAGGTTCATGCCTGAGTGTCTCTCACACACAAACTTTGCATTACCCCTTAAAGTCACTTATCATCATGTCATGTGACTCTACTGTAACTGTGGATTCCAATAATATTTGGTCAACATTAATGCAGACTGGATTACATTACTTTCCATTTGCACTGGTTTCCTGACTATAAACCTTGACCTCTTTCAGTGTGAGCACCTTTTGACTTCTTGCACTTTTGTGAAATTCTGCGGCTTTTTCAATGCAACATGATGCGCCAAAACATGCAAAAGCAATACCCCCCGTGGCTGCAGACCCATCATTATTGCATCAGATAGAATGAGACAGCCTTCCCAGAGGTGTTGCAAATCATGGACAATGTTTTAATGAAATCAGAGCAGCAGTTATAACATCATTTCCACATGTGGCTCCATTGCTCTCATTCCAGACCAGTGTGCTGGTTTCCAAATGCAGGCCTATTTACAAATTGTGTGAGGGTGCTTCTGCCCATGATTGCTGCACGAATGGTCGCTCGTGCAACGAGGATCCAATCCCCAGCTTTTGTTATCGTTAACAAATTCAAGAGTGGAACCACATGACTGATCTGCATCATGTGATGTGATTTTCGTGTAAGTTTCCAGTTTGAGGGCCTTTCACTTGATATTTTAAATATTCTGTTGCTCTTTGTTCTAATTGCTGCTATTAACTTCCATTTGGAAATGACTAAAAATAAATAAAATGAAGTACAGCAGGTTCAGGTCTAAAAGAGAGAATTTCAAAATTTCCCAGCA